CCCTAGGGTAATACCTTCTAGTTCACTGTTGTAAACTAGTTGGTTATTTCCTATAGTATATTGTTCTTGGGCTATTTGTGTTGTTCCTAGATAGAATGCAACCCCTACTCCTACACCTTTGCCTTGCTTTGTAGCTGAGGCATCAGAATAGATAGATAGGAGGCTGTTATCTACTGAGCGAATGCTATAGTTGTCGTCTGAACAAGCGAACCCGAGAAGGCGACATATCCGGCAGGTAGAAGTCCGTAGTTGGTCTACAGTCTGACTCAGTGTAACAAACTCGAATGTCTCGTTATCCCAAGCAAATGCGCGACAATGGTCACATATGTCTCCATCCAACTCTTCCATTTTTTGAGTTGATAACAATCAATATCTGTAGTGGAAGAAAAGTACGTCAAGGTAGCCTCGTAGGGATAATTGGAGCATGAAGTAAAATTTACTCAGCTGGGGAGTATTGATCCTATTTGGAATATGGGTGCATGCTGAGGATGGCAAAGGAGTAGAAGTGAGAAGGAGAGGCAGGCTGTCGTTCCTACCACGCTGACACTGCCATACCAAGACGCTAAGCGAATACGGAAGAGGCTGAGTGCAACAGGTCAGGCAGCCACACAGGCTGCAGGCACCAAAACAGTTGACCGGATAATTTTCTAAATGATTGCACAGCCATTCTGCATTCAAGTGGAAAAGTGGGAATAAATCACCCAGAGTATTCGCAACTGTTGATACAGTATGGAGAGGATTTAGCTACAGATTAGCAGCAGCAGTGTTGCAGAGCATAATTGCCAAGACCAGGCATGCAAAGAAAACGTCAATCAATTTATATACAGCCATTAAAGTATACCGAGATAAGAGTGTTCCTCGCAAAAGAAAGTGAAAAAGAAGAAAAAGAGAAAGAAGACAAGGAAACCAAAGAAGAACAACGCCCAGTGTATATATATCCCGCATGCATCAAGGGACATAGGGCGGCGGGGGTTCGCGCTCCCCCAACTCGGTCGACACAGTTGGCGCGTAGTACGGCCTGGCGCCGGCGCCATAGGCATGCGGGTAGGAGTCCCAGTTGTCATCATGGGCGGCATGGCCAAACACGTCGTGGTCTCCGGTCGCCATTTCATACGTCAGCCCCGGCGACGTAGGTGTAGCGCCGAAGGCGGGCGTCGAGACCGAGTACCCCGCGTTGGCGTAGAGGCCGTGGTGGTGCTGTGTAGGCTCCAGGCCAAGGGCGGGTTGTTCGGATACGTCGTGTGGGCGGTAGCCGTTGGCGACGGGCATGCGCGACAGCGTTGCGAAGGAGTCGGTGCGATGCAGCGAGGGCTGGATGATGATGTGGGGCTTCCGCTGGGGGACGGGTCGCCGAGGGATGTTGAAGCTCTGCGTGTGTGGAGGGGCTTGCGGTCGCGGTGGTTGCTGCGGCGCGACCAGGGCCTCGGGCATGGGCGTCTGAGGCGGATACGTCTGGGGGCAGGGCTGCGGTGCCATTGACATGTATGCGTATTTTTGCTGCGGCCTGGCGGCGGCGTGGTGGGCACAATTTGCTCCGGGAAACGAGTGCTGTCGTTTAGGCTGGGCGTCTTCCTGGCCTGTTTCCTTCTGGTTCTTCTTTCGATAGTGGCGGTGGAGCAGGTAGCCGCCTGCGACAATCTCGAGGCCGCCAAAGATCATGGTGGGTGCACGGCGATGTTGTATGGGATGCGGCGAGTAGAGCTACGGGGGGGTAGCTTGCTTTGTAACAAAAGTCGGGTGCTGGAGAAGAGGCGGATGGGCTGACTGAGGCCATGACTATGCAAATATGTGCTCAGCCTCTCTGGCCAAAGCGAAGGAGCGAGCTATTGGTGCCGCAGTCTCCGCGCGTGGTGGCGGAGTCGAGAGGTGCAGCACGCCGGCGCCCAATGAGCGACTCCATTTCGCCTGCCTAGTCGCTCGAGACGAGCGACCCCCCACCCATCGTAACCATGATACTCCCATGGACAGCCACCACCACACCTACAAGTGTGGTTTCACAGTCTGCAGCACCGTGAGTTTCTGGCTTTTTTTCCCTGTGTGCATCAAGTCGAATGCGATTGGTTGTTGTCCAGCTGCTCTATACAGCCGCGCAGCACATAGTCGACACAGATAGCCAATGCTTTCCTTACCCCCGCATTTGCTCAAACACTCTCTTGATTGATATAGCATGCCTGATAAATAGTACCGAGACGGCAGAGAGACATCCATGCCAACCAGAGCGCTTGCTGAGTGTGAGCGAGGCTGTCTCTCGGGTCTGAGATTGAGCACTGAAGCTTGAGTGACTTGGAGAGAATGCATCTGGACATCTATGAACATTATCCAAAGCCATTGGGCGGCTACACCACACCTAGCAACACATTGTGAACAATATACCAGCTTCAGGGACTTGATTCGTAAACATGTCATTTATTCATACAGTGCACTAGCATCAACCGTAACAGTACCCCGCGTAAAGCCTTTCTGGATCTCCACGCAGCATCCAAAACCAAGAAACAACGCAATCATTTGCATCTCATCATAACTTTTTCCTTGATGGCCATGTCAAGAACCTGAGTAAATCCCCCGTTGAAAACCGCCACTCTGGCGAATCGCGGATCGTAAAAAGCTGGGAATGCCACCCTGCTTTACTTGTAGTTGGGGGCAGGGACAACGCTAAACACGCCAACATTAGCAAAATAGAAGACATGGGCATACCATTAGAGAGACTCACTTGTGCCAGCCAGGACCCAGTCCTTGGATAATGGGGCCTGGGAGAGTGATTCCGGGGCCGTTCAGCGCATCTGCAAGCACGGGGATGGCGCGCTTCTCGTCGGCAGCGGGTTGAGAGGCTGGGTTGGGGATGGCGAGCGCCATGACGCAAGGAGCGAAGACAAGGACTGCAGAGAGCTTCATTGCGGATGTGTGTGTGTGTGTGTGAAATACCTGTCACAGGGTGTTGTTGATGGGCTGTGAATGCGTTGCTGTTGAGTATGTTCATATACCTGCCAGAAAGGCAGCATTATATAAACGCAGCGTCAACTAGAGTATTGCATGCGGGAATAACTGAGTCGCGCCCATTCTGTCTCTTGGTCCGTTTCTCCACAAATGCGGTCTCTCTTCTGGAGCAGTATCCGCTAGTTAAGCCGAGCGAGATAAGTGCTTACTTGCCTACAGCTTCTGGCGGAAGAGTGCACATTCCCTTACTCTATTGTCTTGGTACGCCTAGTTGCTTGCAAGGAATCGCCAGCCAGGTACTGCGCTCCCCTCGTGGTCTGTATAGTTTGGTTAAACGTTCAAACGTGTATCTGTGCTCTGCTGACGCGATAGCGCTTACCCCGGTTCTGACTAGGGTAAATGCTGTTAATAGTAGTACGTGGTATACTTGGCTCGACTAAGACGAGTTAGCATGGCTCGTGAGTTTTGATTGCTCGTCGTTGTTACAGCCTTACATCTCTGCGGAATGCCTTTGACCAACGACTATAGGTTCACCAAAGAAACAACTTCCCCCAGCCATCTTGCATAAGAAACAGGCACTAATCGCGGAAGCCCGCCTAGCTATGCAGTCAACCAGACTACTCGACCCGAAGTAGGCCCGGGGGCAACCATCACCATGGAGAGCACGACACTACTACGTACCATGAATTATGCCTATCTGCTTAACCCACGGGCGCTCTATATACAGTTTCCCCATGGAGTCTAATAGCATGCGACTTCTGTGGATAGCCTCATGTATGTAGGCTTCAACTCGGACGCTAAGCACCTTGTCTTGCACCTGATTGCGACATTGCCGAAATACGAGGCTGATCTGTGGCAAGGAAATCCACCCGGTATATTCACCGAGAGAGAAACAAACGGGCGGGCTTTGGGCCAAGAAGATCAGCTGATTGATACCATGGCTATTTGACTACATGGAACATACCAGCGCAGCAGCAGGATACTTGGCGGAGATAGCCTTGAGGTTGTGAACGTTTTAACTAAAAAACAAAACAAAAACAACTTGGGTTGTTTTTTTCTTATGTTGAATTGATACCATTAGTTATCAGAAGCACCGAATAACATTGCAACCACACTTCACCACACCCCCGGTCCTGAAACAAGAAACTGTTCGGGGTAACAGTCTGGGGGAGTCATGCCGCCTTTCTATTCCTGGAGCCGTCGCATTCTCCCAAGTGCTGAATCATGCGAGTTTCTTAGGAACACACACGTGTGAGATCTCGTTACGTCATGCGCCATGCCAGCGAACCCGGTGCACCTTCCCCGGATTCGAACGAGGGACAAGTGCGGTGGACAGTGCGGAAGTCGCGTGGGTGAATCGCCATATCATGATCAGCAGGCACGTCAGTGCGTGAGATTACGGCATCCGCGAGGGAAAAAAACTTCAACGACATACACCCCTCCATTGCATATATCCGAGTAGTCGAGCAAGAGGATTCAACGAGCTGCTGAGTAGTGCCGATCATATTACAGTTGTGAATAGAGCTTCGCCATCTGTTGAAGTCAGCTCGTTCCTTTTTGCGAGTCCCCCGGACGGATTTCTAATGCGCCCACCCCGTACGTCCTGCACACTCACAAAATACCAGATACCAACCAGTCCACTTTGATCCAAGCGCGCAGCTCTATCGCTCAGGACCACATGGCTCCTTCACGATAAGATACATGATTGGAACTCGGAGATGCAACGTGCCCTGACTACTGGCGGGTATGGCGCCACTTCGGACCAACTATCCAACGGATAGCGTACACATTATATTCTGGAAGCACGGTAAGCCTATCTTCCACGCTGTGCCAAGGAACATGTGTGGTTGAACAGGGCCTTTTCCACACATAGCTCCAAGCCTTTCCTGGTCATCAGGTGGTGTTCGTTTGACAAACGGCGCTTTTTTCCGTTTCCGCGACTTGAATTTGGACGCTATCGAGATCCCGGTCGATGTTCTGAAGCCCAACCATTTCCAGCCACTTTTTAACGGCTTCAGACTTCTGGTGGGGTCGGTTCTCGTGTACCGAATCGTCTTGACGAGCACTGTTGCTGCCACTCTTCTCCAGCATCCACGGCTCTGCGGCAGTGTCCTTGAGCTCGACGACCAGCTGGTAGTAAACGGACAGATCCCCGTAGTACCATATACCAGTGACAAACTGGTTGACGTACTCCCCCCAGACCCGATTACCTTTTACGTCGATAAGCGCCGCCAGGTTGGTACGGTCCCAGCGGGGCATGTCTGTCCAGTGCAGCAAAAGGCCGGGTGCACTGTCCAGAGCGCGAATAAGTGCCAGCACGTCGTGAGCCTGTTCCTTCAACGGGAGACGTAAAGAGCACTGGCCGCAGGCTGCCGCGGCCGAGACAAAGAAATCCGAGATATATCTTTGCAGCTCCCGCATGCTCTGCAGCTTGACGGGTGCATGCGCTCGATGTAGCGGCAGAAACTCGCCTCGAATCTTGCGGCACGTCTGCGTCAACCCGAGCGACTGTCTCTTCAGCAAAGACCAGTGCAACGTGCGACTCGGTGTGCGGAAAGCAAGTCGCAGTGGATACGGAGGCGGCCTGGGCCGCACTCGGCATGAAGTACCTTCCAGAACACATACGTAGATGCGATTGCGAAGTTCTGCCGTACAGAGGAAAATCAGTCATTATTCAACACCACAATATACCGCTCGCCACATACCTCCGGGCAATTCTAAGAGCCGGCAACGCGGGGGCGCCATACCGCCATGTTCGCTACCCACTGTTGTCGCGTCGCTCATTATAGCCCTGAGTGTCCTCGATATAGTATAGCTGGAGCTGAATCCGGACCCCAATCAATGAGCAATCGTTTCGTGCGCGTCAAGGTTTCAAAGGCGGTGTTTTGATTGTTTTCGCTGCTGGAACGGCTGCCTAAGCAAATGCTGACGCGCTAGTAGTTCCTTACGTACTTACAAACGGGTGCGTTCAGCATAAGTAAACTGTGAAGCGCACTACTCGAAGCGGCAACGTCATTTTTTCTCGCGTCGCTGCTTGCTGATTGGTTCGCCTGGTGCGCGTGAGGGCTGAGCTTAATCATACGTGACTTGAATGGTAGGTGCGCGGATTCTGGGGAGTGTCTTTTGCATTTACTGCTAGGCGGCCTTTGTATCTTTGTTCAGTATGCAGTGTTTTGTGGTTGCAATCTTGATAGAGTTGGACTTGGATTTTCGGACTAAAGGGCGAATAGTGGGCCTGATGACTATGTCAACTGTCGAGACTCCTATCAGTCTAGATGGCGATGACTGTATTTTTCTAGACTTCAATATTTCCGATTAACAGCTCGGGCCCTTTGCACTCCTGCTCGAAAAAAAGTGTACTGCATGATGTGCGGAATTGTCGTCAGTGTTAACAAAAGGATTTGAAAACATTTTCTGGAGCATTTCTCATCCAATCAAGAGAGCACTCTCCTTTCATTTGGTCTTAATGACTGTCTAAAGAAACCCAAATCGTTCAATTGTAAATACCGCTAAAAAACAGTATACTATCTACCCTGACCTTCACATCTATCTATACATGTCTCCATACTCAGCAAAAGCACAAACAACGCCATTTTTACTCATCCCCTCTCCCCATACATTTCAGTGGCCAAATCAATTAATGATCCATAGCTGCAGCAACGTCAATACAAGCATCTAACAAACAAGGCGCCTAGCAGTGCAGCACATCGGCTCGGAAAAGTGGGCGTAAACGACTTGGCAGATGTCACAATCAGGAAGCTTGGCTCGTTTCCCCAGACGCATGAATTCACAAACCTGCGATTAGAAATCAGAAATACTTGTTGTTTTTCTGGAAATGCGGAACATGGAATGGTTGTGGTGTCGCTTCATAACGATAGATGAGATCGCTTCGCTTCCAGTGCTGGTGGTGCTGGTGCTGGTAGTGAATATCAGCATCGTGGTGCATGTAGCAATCTGACGGGCCAGCAAAGCTGGACCAAAAGCAGCGCTCTTGGTAGATTCCCCGTCTTGGTTTCTAGACAAAAGCACTCCATACTAACAAACCCTAATAAACCCTGCAGTGCTAACCAGCCCGCCCCCCATCTCACCCCTTTCCAGCGAGCGGAATACTTAAACGGCTATTGTAAGATCTGGATGTGGATCAAGCAATATAACAGGCTGCTTCGCCTCAGCCGCCATGAATTCAGGGAAAACAAGGCGAAGAGCATCATGCATCATCTCAGTCTCTGTTTCTCCTTGCTCATCCACCAGCATCTCAACGACCTTTGCGATTGCTTCGTTTGACGGGTCCGCCGAGACCATGGCTTCTCCGTGGTAGATTGCGTGCAGCAGACGATAGACTGTCTGTGACAGCGCAGCATCCTTGCTCAGCGGCGATACGCTGCTAGCCCACACATAAAAGCGGATGGTTCGCACGAGGACCGGCCAGCAAACGAAGTGGTGAGCCGGAAGATGCAGGCCGAGTCCCTCGCCCTCGTTGACGCCCATTCTCTGGGCGAGCTCGATGAAAAAATCGGGAGATAGTATTAGCCCCCGCGAGATCCGAGGCTGTTGGTGCTCTTCTCTTCCTTCCCCACCTTCGTTGTCCTGGCCGGGAGGTGTCATTTTGGAGGCATCGTGGAGGAAGTTGTTGTTTGATGCTGCGTTGCTGTTGTTGCTGCTGCCGCTACTGCCGGGTTTTTCCTCGCCGCGAGGTTGCTTCTCGAGGAAGTCTGTTTCTTCGACCAACTCCACGCTTGGTCCAATGTAGTGTGAGACTATCAGCTTGATGGCGTCGGTAAGCTTGTTCCTAACGGCGCTTTTTTCAACGTTACACGTATCTGAGACTATGCTGGAGTCGGCCATGTATCCTTGATATCGGGCCAAGAGCTCGTTAAGCTCAAGGCTCGATGGATGATCTGGAAGCTTGGTCACGTCGACATCCACGACCAGCGTTTCCATGTTAATTTTAGAAACATCGAATCCAGACCATGCAGTAGCAGAGACGCTTTGGAACCACTCAATGAACTGTCGGCGCAGCTCACGCACTCTGCTCGAGGAAATGAGAAAATCCGGTGGTAGCGATAGACGCGCGAGGCCTATGCCGAGAGACTCTTTTGCGTAATCTGCAAACTCAACAGGCGACTGGAAGTGCGAGAGTTCGGGTGGTTTCCATCCACGCCGTGTTGGGCCTTCGACGTCGTATACGTAGTGGAAGGCATATATCGCCATGGGCCAGTTGTTAAGCTCCATGAAGATAAGAGCGAACTTGAGATACATGATATTGTACTCCTCGTGAGAAAATGGCATCCAGTCGGCCCGACCGCTCTCTTTTTTAGACAACAGCTCCATGGCTTGTTGGGCGTGGCGTCCCGCAGTTTCCCACTCCCTCAGATCATAGTATAACAGTGCCAAGCCCCTCTGACACGCAAACTGCGTGGCCGTATCTCCGCTCCAGAGAGCCTGTCGTAGCAGCTCTACAAAACAGGCCTTGGCCTCATCAACCCGCCTCACCGCCAACAGCAGATTGGACGTGTCAATGGCCCTTACCAAGTTGGATCGATCAATCTTGTCGTTTTCGTTCCCCCACCCGACATCAACCACCTCTTGGATGCGTTGAGTGACTTTGGTACCTACGCGGGTCTTTCTGGGTCGCCTAAAATCGTCCCCGTACCACGTTGGAAGAGGCACTGATTGCTCATCGGCCACTTTTTTCATCAGATCTAGGAACGGCGTCATGACATTTTGGTTGTATGTCCTGTCTCCCTGCTTTGACACCTGAAATAGTGCCTGGCATGTGCGGGCGAGACGAGCGTAGTATTCGGCCTGTTCCTCTGTCGTCTTTGCAGCGGCGCGGCATAGGACAATACCAACCATAAAGGCAATCTTGGCCCCTGGAAAGTGCTTGCTCATAGAAAGGTAGACATTTGCCAAATCCCAGAGATCATCCGCCAGCATGCTTGCTTGTCCTAGATCCAGTGGCTTATCTGAAAGCAGAGGTACCCGCGAGATACTCAGCATTTTTCTGACAAAAGGAAGTGATTTGCCCGGGGACTTGTCGACGTAAAATTGGTATAGGTGGAAGCACAGTCGCCTGTAGATATGAGAGTATACAGGGTAAGTGGCATTTTCCAGTTGCGAGCGCGTTTCGTAGAGCTTGATGGCGGTTCCCGCATGCTCCAGCAGTATATCAAACGGGGTGGTGGCAGAGATCGACTGGATGGCGTGTTCCCACAAGATGTTGGTGATGGGCAGCCAGATCGACAGCGCGAAGACAGCCAAGTCGGGGTCAGTGGCAACGTTGGAATTGTCCTTGGAAAAAGAATGCAGTGCGGCGAAGTAGTTGAGCGTATTGAAGTATGACTCGGCCAAGGCACTGGCGTCGTCGGCTAGTACCTTCATGGCCCGGAGGGCAAGGTCCCGGTAAAATGTCTGGAACAGATGTTGCTGCCAGGAACGGTACGTCTCCATACTGAGGGTATTGCCCTGTAGTAGAAAAGGCATGTTCTCATGGTACTGCCCCTGGTCAAGCAGAAAGCGAAGCATGTTGTTCAAAAGTGGATGGACAAGATAGAACCGCTGCTTTTCGCCCCTCGAGTACGGAACCGGCCCCCGCTCCTCTTGAATCCAAGTTGATCCAATGAAGTTAACTTTGACAAATTCAAGAGCATCTTCGGCCGTCAGAGATGCGCCGGGGTAAAAGGAGTTGATAGCAGAAGAAAGGTATTCGAAAAAGCTTGGCGTGAAGGAATTGGTTGGGGCTGAGAGCCCCAGGAGGAGGAGCACTCTGGGAGTGTCGGAAATGTATCTGGCATGGATGCGCCTGACGAATTCCAAACACTCACGGATCTGGCTTTCGGCTAGGTTGGGTGCCATGTATGCGACAAGCAAGACGTTGAATGCCGTTCGAGCGTTCGATGTGGTGATTGGCGTAAGGACCATTCCTTTGATCGTGTTGGTGATGGCGGATGGGTTGCAGCGAAGCGTGTACATCATGTAGCCAATACACTTGATGCTGTCTGGGTCTTGAACCTTGTTACCCAGGCCCTCCGCTCGTAAGATTGCATGTGCTAGACTGCAGGCATGAGGATGTGATAGCGGCCCAAGTTCATATATAGCATGTCCTGGGAGCCCAAGCCAGCGCTCACTCGAGATGGAGTTGAGAATAATCATCGTACTTCCGCCTTTGAGTCTGCCGATGAAGTCTTTTAGATGTGTCTTATCCTTATCGCTGACATCGCCCGGTTGTCCATTGGCTACCGACATCAAGGGGTTGCTCAAGCACTCGACCGAGTCAATATGGATAACGAAGGGGTTGGATACTAGCTCCGAGACGAAGCTTTCGAGCCGTCCGGGGTAGTCGGGCCGGGTATTGTCGTAGAGCTCCCGGAGCAATGAGAGGATGTTGCTTTTATCCCGACTTTTGTACGAAAGATCAAGGCATAGTGTAACAACACCAGTAATGAGCCAGCAACGCATAAGCCATTGGCTAAAGGCTGTCTTCCCGCACCCATGCACCCCCCTTATGAGCATTATATTCGTCCTCTTCTCACGGAAGAACTGCCACTCGACCGCCATCCCGTCGTAATGGCGGCCGAGAAAGGGGCCCCAGCTTTTAAACTCTTTGTCGACAGAAGAGCACATCTTGGACATCTCCATCATCTGCTTGGAAGGTCTGGGGAGCTTCAAAACCGCCGCCACTTCCTGAGAAGCCTCAGTGGCCCCGCTGTGATACATTACAGGAACGACAAAGTCGGGCAGTTCTACTTGCACGCTGAGATAACTGTCTCGAGTTCGGTTCCCGAGGAGTACTTGGCGCCCAAGGTGTGTGGCTTCGGATACGCTGTATGTGCCGGTTAGGTAGAATGAGTAAAAGGTTTTGATGAAGTAGGACGCTGCTGTGGACGTGAGAGGGAACTGCATCGCCACGACATCTTGGATGCCAAAGCTAAGAAGCTTCATCGCCATGTTTGACCTTCCGGTGTTGGTCACTCTCGCTGAGTCACATGAGTTGAACAAGACTGTACGAACCTCATTCGACTGCAAGGTTTCTCCGATTTCATCGAAAGTTGGTAGGTATTCGTTTTCGCCGCTGCCTGACAAGAATCGGAGACGCGCAGTCCCATCCTGGACGACCCCATGCACATCAAAGTGCACCATGTCAAACCAAGGGCCATCGCCACCACTCAAGTGCCATGCCTCGGTGCGAGACGAGATGTTTTTCTTGAATGCGCTCCATGTTCCTGGCCGGGAAATTTCGAGACGGAATTTGGCGCTTTGCTTGGGGTCCATGTCGACAAGGAGATCCGAGATGGCCTCGCAAGCAAGATAAGGGTCGATGTCTTCACCCTTTTCAGGACGTGACACTGCTAGAAGGATATTGAAGGTTGGTTTAATGATTGCAGGCCGGTGTCTCATGGGTGCAGGAGATAGTGATGTTCTGGGAGCCTGGACTGCTGCAATTCGACGGATAATGTAGATCCATTTCGCCTCAACGTTTTGCAGCCTGTGGAGACACTCCAAAGTCTCCCACAGAAGACCGTGAAATAACGATCCACTTTCGGTATCCTCGATGTCGACGTAAACTCTTGGAAGCTTCCAAATGTCCCTTGATACCAGCTGGCCGTGCCTTTTAAGGAGCTCATCGTTTACATCCAAGTGGCGTGTGAGGTCTAGCTGTTCCTCTAAGCACCGGGCGTACTGAATCAGACCTTGGAAGATTTCCTCTGCCTTCGCGGACTCGTACGGGTAGTGCCGACAGAATTTCCTAAAGACCCATTCCAGGCTTTCTTTCGATGGTTCCTCCAGAATCTCTGCAGGATCTCTGACTGCCACATAACGTCATTACAAAAGTTTTCTAGATACCTACAAATACGCTTCGGTTAGGTATCAGTGAAATACAGCAAGAAACTTACTCTTCTTCTCCCACGTGGACATATCCTGTTGAATGTAGACATTCCAAACACCTGAGGCCGGTGACGACGTTGCTCGAATATGGACTCGTACTGAAGTTCTCTCCTGATCTTTACGCCACGGCAAGTGGAGATGACCCATAACGGATGAGGCCAACTCAGCGACAGGAGACGGCAGCAGGTTTAGCTTGTTCATCTTTTGTTATTACTACTCGGGCTTACCACTTCCCATTAAAGGTTTGCGTCCAGGTATTGCGATATGCAAGACCCCATCCTCGCGTAAATATCTCAGCGAACTGTCACTAAGGGGTTCTAGCAGAGAGGCCTTTTTGCCGGTGGCCTGATCTCAATGCTGATGACCTAACAAATATCTTTGTTTGTGTGGATCGGGAGATTTTCAGCTCTGAGTGTGTCTGAAGATGCTATTCGCTCCAGTTCTCGTGTTGCTAGCGCCAGCTTGGCAAGCCAAGATGCATGATGGGATGATCAAAGGGAGTCCACTCATTGTGGCGTGGTTGACATCCCGCATCAAATTGTGCCGACTAACGTACGACATCCCTCTCCTCAGCCTGCTCCATTCAAAAATGTGGGCATGATTCAGCGAAACTACATATGTCGCTCGTCTCATTGTTCCCGTACATTGAATCTTTTTAGATTCGATTTCTAAGATTATCGTGCGCAAGAAGCGGGTTTCGCCTGCACCGACAACAAGGGACAATGGGTGACAAGCCAACATTCGTACTTCTTTCTCAGAGGCTCCCCGCCGACACCCTAGCACACAACTTTCTAGGACGCATTGTCGAAAATGTTAAGTACCCAACCTTCGGGTTTCGGCCAGAAGATTCAAGTCCACTCTTTACCGAGTCACCAATCGAAGTTTCCGATACCGATGCTTCGATCTACCACGAAGCAAACAGAGAGGGCTCAGCAAAGGGAGAGCTCAGCAGACTTTTTGGGCTTTCGGTGAGAGAAACCGAAGAAGAAAAGGCATCCCTCAAAGGCAAGACTATCGTCACCAGACTCCTTCTGCAACATCGTGACGTCTTCAAAAATATCATGAAACTCCACGAGGAATCCATTACGGAGTTTGTCGAGGAAAATGACAGTGTTGGGTACATGGTCGTTGGCCTCAAGAACATTTTCAACGGTACCATGGAGAGAGCGTTCCAGAAGTTTCGACACCTAAATGCGGACGTTTCATTGCCTATTGGAACCGCAGTGTGGGCAGCTTCTTCGGGGGCACTGAATCTGGGGTCAGCTGTTGATCCCAAGGCGGAATTCGGCAAACACAGCACCGCCAAATGGGCCGCATTCAGCCAAATCGAAGACGAACAGATCTTCGCTGTTCAGTATCGCATCATTGAATTGAGAGAGGGCTTAATCAGCTGCTGGGGCAAACCAAAGCTGAAGATAGGAGGGGTCATGGAATTCCAGGATGGTGTATTTGGGGAAGGCGAACACTCGAGGTTCCAAAAGAAGGCTGTTCTTGAGGAAGACGATGAGGAGCACAGTAGCGATAACGATGAGGGTGAGCTGGTCTTGTCGGATAAATCATTAAGAGACGAGGAATTCGACTTTCTGGGGTTAACATTTGTGAGTTGAAGAATTTGGTCGAGCACCGAGACCTGGTTTAGGTTACAATTGCTGGTTTTGTCGACATATGTTATTACACTTCAATTGAAGAGATAGAAAGCTGAACGAAGATAATAGCACCTATTATTATTATTATTATTATTATTAGTATTCTAGTTGAACGTCCTTTTTCAGCCCAAAGGGCTATATAAGACGTGTAGGGTTTTTAGGCCTATAAGTATCTTAGTAGGTTGTTTCTAGCTACGATATTTAGGAGGGGTTTTAACTAGATAAAGGTGAGGCTTGTAGCCTATTAGTTAGTAGGTAGGGGGGGGGATAGGGTGGGGGAGGTGTATGGCTACCTGTTACAGGTATTACTCCTCGTTTTCTGTGTTTCCCTTGTACTAGGCTTGTGTTCTAGCCTTTGTTTCTTGAATAAAAGTAATAGTTGCTTCTATACCTTCTTTTGTTTGAAGGAGGATAGGTAGTGATAGATCGCCTTCGCAGGCTTCTCTTAGTCCTTTCCTTTCCTCTCTATATAGATTACATCTAAATAGAATATGAGGTAGGTCTTGTATAGACCTATAGTTGCAGGGGCAACTATTAGAATCTACTTTCCCTCTCTTATATAGGTAGTCCCTTAGGTAACAGTGCCCTAGTTTAAGTTAGTAGAAAGCGCTAGAAATCTCTCTTCTAGTATTGCTAGGAATAGCGATTTGCTTTCTTATCTTCCACTTGTATTTTGCTGCGTACGTTTGTGGATTCTTGCTAGTGGCTTTTTTCCTATACTGTTCAAGTTGGCTTAGCCATTCTCTCTCTCCTAGCTGCTTAATTCGCGAGCTAGTAATAGCTAGGCTAGTTTTGCTAGTAGAAGGAGGGTCTAGCTCAGTAGCTTCTTTAGCTAGGGCGTCTGCTTTTTCGTCCCAGGGATGTCTTGGTGGCCTGGTACCCAGTAGAGGCTAGGGGCGTATACCTATCTCCTCTAGTTTCTTTGTTGCCTTTATACATCTAATTTGCCATTCTTGGCCTAGNTTATTAGAAGCAGTCTTTAACCTAAGTAGAGCAGCTT